AAAAAAAAAAAAAAAAAAGACAACCAAAACTATCCAAAGAAAAAAAAATTAAAGAGGCCAAAAATGGATGAGAAATCAGGAAAACTATCAAAAGTAACATGCCTGGACTCATGTTACATAAACTGTTCCAAGAAAACAGTTAGTGAAATTGACCTTATGCCAAGTAGTGTACTAGGCTTTCAACACTGACTAGGTATGAAATGCCACAGAGCTGGTTTTCTCATTTTGAAATAAGTTTTTGTTGAACAAAATAGGAAAAGAATATGAAGCACATGAAAAGAAAAAGTGTCTGTTCCTGAAGGCTGACCTGGTATGCTTATAGTGACGTGTTTGGGAGTGGTCAGTCTGTGGCTTTATCAGTTAAATCCGTTGAATCTGGCCCCATTTTGTCCTAAAGTTTTATTTTAGATTCTCTGGAGTTTGTGATTACAAATATATTTCTAAGATTTAAATAGCTTTTGTTTTTGTTTTTGTTTTGAGACAGGTTCTCTCTCTGTCACCCAGGCAAGAGTTTAGTGGTGCAATCGTAGCTTATTGCAACCTCAAACTCCTGGGCTCAAGCTATCCTCCTGTCTCAGTCTCCTAAGTCTCCTAAGTAGATGAGACCCCACATGTGGGCCAGCTAATTTTGTTTGTATTTTGTAAAGATGGTATCTTGCTTTTTGCCCAGGCTGGTGTCAGACTCCTGGCTCAAGTAATCCTTCCGCCTCAACCTCTCAAAGTCCTAAAATCACAGGCATGAGCCACCGTGCACGGCCTTAAACAGCTTTCCATGTTAATCTCCTTTTATGTTTGTCAATAGAATAAAAATGTATCTAAAATCAAGAATATCGGGTTTATCTGGTTGGTTTTGCAGTGAGTAACTACTTAAATCCTGACCTAACTTATTAGTTGTAAACTCCTTTCTGCATTTTGACTTATCTTAGATCTCCTTTTGTCTTCCTAGATGGCGGCAGCAGGTAACCTTTTGACTTGCTCAAGGTCACAGAGATGAGAACCTGACCTTGTTCCTCTGAGCCCTAGTCTTTCCAACCCACCGGGCCTGTAAGCTCAGGAGTTGCCCACTGCTAAGAACTGATGCTTGTGCTTTCATGGCAGTTTGGGTTGGAGAAAAGGATATTTTACTAGAAAATAACCATTGGAGAAGGGGAGTTTTGTACATAGAAATGCTAGGCGGAAACGTTCTCAAATAAACAACTCAGGTTTTTCAACTGATCATAAAGCCATATTTCAGTAATGAAGAAGGGCATTTCACTCGGCTGTATGGTATGATGGCCTCAGGAAGAGAACCAGCCTGGCTGTGAAATGTTTTTCAAGAGCACGTTTCATATTGTGGTGTCAGCGGGCGTCTTGTCCCAAATCTGTGAACCCCACCCCTGAGCCCACACTTCGCACCTCCAGAGCCCCTCAGGTGACTCGTGGCTGCCCAGACACAGGGCGCCAAGCTCAACCTCCCTTAGGGTGCTCGGGGGCCCTGGGAAGGCTGGACGGGGGACGACAGGGCTGCAGGACTGTGCTGCCTGGTTCTTTCCTGCAGCCCCACTGTCATTGGAGACTGTCCTCCAGCACAGTTCGCCCACGCCGACCCTGGCTCCAGACTGGCTCCTCGTGTGAGCTCCAGGCACCCTCCTCATTTTCATCATCACCATCTCTAAGATGGGGTGACATTCGTCCCTGCCTCAAGGCAATCATGAGGCTCCTATCAGAGGTGCTATGAATGGTGCCGGCTGTGAGCGAGCTCTAAGTGAATGACAGTTGCTGTGGATGCACTTTTAAAAAGCATAATGCCTCTGAGAAACCAGTTCTGTCTTTGATTAGCTTTTCTATTTCAAGTATTTGCCCCCACCTATAAGACCCAAGTTAACCTAATCAGCCCTTTGTGACATTCATGACGCAGACAGACCCCACCACCACCATGGCAGCAATCATGTGAGTGGCTCACCCATCTGCCTGCTGTCCATCACCTGACGTTAGTACCTGCCCCTTCATGATGACAGGGAGCAGACTACCACCCAGTCACCTTAACAACCTCCCCCCATCAAAGGGAAGGATTAAAAGGACTCAACCACGAGCAGCCAGCCGCCATTGCCTTACTAGACTCTAGGGATTGTGTTAAGTTGTAGCATTTTCCTACCTCGGGTCCCAAGTCTCAATTATAGGCTAAATTTTTAGACTCTGGTGTGGCCATGTGCTCGTTGGTCTATGGCCACCGCCATATTTCCTGGTTTTGGCACCCTTCCGTTTTGGGGAGGTGAATCTCCTCTTTCTCTCTCTCTAATTTACTTTCTCCATAAACTGTATTTTGTAATCTAAAAAAACTCCATGAAACAAAAAAGTAAAGCTTTTTAAAACTTTTTTCTGCTGACCAGTGAATCATCCAGTTTTAATTAGTTCTGTGGCTAAAAAACTTGTTGAATATGTTTCCTCCTTTTTCATACTTGCCATCCTTGGAATATACAGCTCTGATGGCAGGTAGAACAAATTGTCTGTGCTCATTTATTTAAATGTCCATCTCTCCATGGCCCATGGTTGGGAACCGAGTCTTACTCACTGTTGAAATCTCTGGCACGTAGCTCAATGCCTGCCAAGTATCAGGTGAAATTGGGTGTTTGATTCTGTTAACTACCACAAAAATGAAAGTGACGTGTTCAATGGCTCAGAATAACCTTAACTCTGAACCTTCACTCTGGGACGCTTAAATATATCCATAATATTTGCTGGTGAGTATATGTAGTTTCAAAGGAAAAAAAGAGAGAGAGAGAGGGAGAGAGAGACCAGATCTGGAGGCTCATGCCTATAATCCCCGCACTTGGGGAGACTGAGGCGGGAGGATTACTTGAGCCCAGGAATTCAAGCCTGGGCAACATAGCGAGAAAGAGTTTGAGATCGGCCTGGGCAATATAGTGAGGCCTTGCATCTACAAGAAATAAAACAAAAACCTAGCGAGGTGTGGCAGTGTGTGCCTGTAGTTACAGCTACTCAGGAAATTGAGGTGGGAGGATCACCTGAGCCCCGGAGGTTGAGGCTGGAGTGAACCGTGATTGTGCCACTGCACACTAACCTGGGTGACAGAGTGAAACATGCCCCCCCAACAGCAAACTAAAAAACAAGGGATGACGAATGAATTTGAGCGGGTGAAGCACTGACCCGGTGCAAGACTGTTAAACCTCATAATACCTGTCATGATACCTAGTACAGAGATAAGTTTGTTTTTGTTGTTGTTGTTATTGTTTGGAAGGTGGGAAAGCAGGATTTATTGAAAGGATAGAAACGCTCCCAGAGCAGGAGGGGTCCCAAGGGGCTTGCCCTGTTTATTTGTTTTTTAACAAATTCTGACTACAAAGAGCTATGCAAACTGGGAGGGAAAGCTAGTGTGTGAAAACAGTTATTTTCTTCTCATTCCCAATGGAAATCTTTTTTTTTTTTTTGAGTCAGAGTCCCACTCTGTTGCCCAGGCTAGAGTGCAGTGGCATGCACATGGCCACCGCAGCCTCGACCTGCTGGGCTCAGGTGATCCTCCCATCTCAGCCTCCTGAGTAGCTGGGACTACAGGCACACTTCACCATGCCGGTCTACATTTTTAGATTTATTGCGGAGACGAGGTCTTACCATGGTGCCCAGGCTGGTCTCAGGCAATCTTCTCGCCTCGGTGCTCAGATTCCAGGCATGAGCCACTGTACCCAGCCCCAGTGGGAACCTTGAGAAGGTGCTGGGGAGCTCGGAGAGGTGGTGACGGGAGTAGCCACCTCCCGGTGAACCGCCAGGAATCACACGGCGTCACCTAGTGACGGGGCTGCTGCCTCTCGAGCATAGCGCTGACATTCTGGTGTCGCCCTAGGTCCTCTCGTTTCTCTTCATTGGTCTCATGTCCATGATGGTTCCCCTGTGCAGCGTCTTCGGGGCCCTCATCGCCGTCTGCCTCATCATGGGCCTCTTCGACGGATGCTTCATTTCCATCATGGCTCCCATCGCCTTTGAGCTTGTTGGCGCCCAGGACGTCTCCCAAGCGATTGGCTTTCTGCTGGGATTCATGTCCGTGCCCATGACGGTGGGCCCACCCGTGGCAGGTAAATATGTCACCCCCAGGGATTGTGTTAAATTGTAGCGTTTTCCTACCTCAGGTCCCAAGTCTCAATTATAGGTAAGATACAACTGGCTCGTTGCTGGAATTTTGCTATTTTGATATTTTTAACAAGATTGGCTGCAGGTGATACGGTGAAAAACCAGTTGGGGAGTTCCTCTTCTCCTCACTGGCGTCTCCAGTAGTCAGACATGTAATAGGCGGCTTCTGGGCTTTGAGCATTCACAGTTCCTGTATTTCACTTACTACGCTTTAGAGGAATGGGAACGTGATTTTCTTAAAAAGATTTGGAAAGTTTCTGAAGGATTTCTAAATAGGTACACTTTGTATAAGAGATCATACATATCCCCCGAGGAACATTTGATGAAAAATAACGTTTAGTGGAAACACCCCAGATGCCCATCAGTCAATGAGTGGGTAAACAAAACGTGGAATATTATTCACCCATGAAGCATAAAGGGATAAAGGAGCCTGACTGATGTGTGCCACCCAGATGGATCCCAAGAATGTGGCACTAAGTGAAAGACGCCAAGCCCAGAAGGTTGCACGCAGTATGGTTTGCTTTATGTGAAACATTCAGAACAGGTGAATTCATGGAGACAGAAAGCAGGTTGGTGGTGGCCAGGGGCCGAGGGAAGGAGGACAGGAAGTAACCATTTCGTGGGGACTTGGTCCTCTTGATGTGACAGAGGGGTTTTGGAACTAGACAGAGGGGATGGCGGGGAATGCACCAAATGCCACCGAGTGGTTCATGGTCCACCGAGCTCCACCTTCAGAAATCCCTGGGTGATAAAGATGCCTCATGTTCAATTGTACTTGGGTACTAGCGCGGGTTCGTGCTAGAAGACTTGACACTATGATGATAAGTGTAGCTGTGTGTGCTGACCTCATGCCCAGCCTCTGAAGTGCAGTGATGGCTGAGCCTGGTCCATTCTCTTGTCCTGAGCTGCATTCCCACCCTGGAGTTAATTGCTCCTGAACAGACCAGGTAGAGTCCAGGGTCAAGGTCACAGTCTCCTTGTGAAGAACCCTCCATCCTGTCTCCCCCCAGGTATATAACATTCCCCCTTCTTCCTGTGCCCTGCCGGCTTCGTGGATAAACAACGCTTTAGTGGTAATGGCATCTGTAACCAGAAGTGACAGCTAACAGGCCACGAGTGAGCGAGGTGGCAGGACTTCCCAAGTGGGCTGATGAACAGTACCAGCAGGTGGCAGCAGACAGGCCCTGGCCCTCCAGCAGGCCCTGAGCCCTTATTCTAGCAAAACATAGTCGCCAGGGTTCGTAAGGATGGAAGGGGCAGCTGTCTGTGGAATGGTCTGATTCAGGAGGTAGAAGAGTAGTACATTTACAGAGACTGTATTTCACGGTTGTAGAAGGAATGTACACACTGTTATGTGTTGGTGCTCAACAAATGCTCAGCTATTTATGTAACACAATCAGATGGGTATTTAGTTCAGGTAACTGAGGTTGCATACTGAAGGTATCCAAGTTTAAAAAAACCCAGCTAAGATAATTTGAAAAACGGTGTCCTGGAATCTGTCAGAGAAATTAGAAATGATGAATGCTCTAAATAATAATTTCAAGCCGGGCTCGGTAGCTCAGCCTGTAATCCTGCGCTTTGGGAGGCTGAGGTGAGTGGATTGCCTGAGCCTGCAGGTTCAAGACCCGCCTGGGCAACTTGGCGAGACCTCATCTCT